TATGAAAGGCCTTTCATAAAACTTGTGGACTTATACACACAGCTCTACAGGCAAGTGCCTTAGTTTTATGATAAAGGTGGTAGCCACTTGTACTGGGCAGAGGTTGGCATAAGGGCAAAAAGACGAGTCACGGCATTGCCCGAAAATGACGTACTTCCCTTGCGGGCTACCTTCCATTTTGAAGGTAGCCCGCAAGGGAAGTACGTCATTTTCGGAAATTTCCGTGACTCAACTTGTGAGTCGTTCCTTTTGATGCGGAATATTCACCATTATGCTCACAACTTCTCAGTACCTTCCTGCAGTCCATTTTGCTTGAGCATGGACTCGATTCAATACCTACGCATTCCACGAACAAGCTCCACAAAACTGTTTACAAAACAGTCAACTTCCCATGGAGGTAAGTAGGTTTGTATTTTCGCTTTTTTGCCTTATGCTCACCAATTGTTCAGTACCTTCCTGTGGTCCGTTTCGCATGAGCGTGGACTTGATTCGATACCTACACATTCCACGAACAAGCTCCACAAAACCGTTTACAAAACGGTCAACCTCCCATTGAGGTAAGTAGGTTTGTATTTCTGCTTTTTTGCCTTATGCTCACCAATTGTTCAGTACCTTCCTGTGGTCCATTTCGCATGGGCGTGGACTCAATTCAATACCTATGCACTCCACAAACATGCTCCACAAAGCCATTTACAAAATGGTTGATTTGACGGCCGTCTGTGGACAAAACTCGCTTTTTTTTTCTACCTACATACTTTTCATGAAATAAAGCTGGCAATTGTCAAAGATTGTCAAAGATAGCCAAAGATTGTTGAAGATTGTCAAAGATTGTTCCATTACAGAAACATGTGAAGGAAGAAAGCCAAATTTTGCGAACAATCTTCAACAATCTTGCAGAATCTTCAACAATCTTTCAATTACAGTTAGGCTTTGGTTCTATTTACAACCTGAGATCTTTGGTGATCTTGCATTTTGTAGGTCTGTATGTTTGGTACACGAGCAAAATTGAAACTGAATAATC